CCCTTCTTTTTTGTGCTATATATCTTGCTTCTTATTTGTAGAAATAATAAACCAAATATATGTTCTTTTTTAATCGACATAGAAAGTATACAAATTTTTTTTGATCAGCAAAGATAAATTTATTTTATGGAGTACAAGGGGTACTCCTACCCATTACACATATAGTATCATCAAGGGTATTACAAATAACCACACCAACTAATGCTTCACAAACCAAACTGCAGAATGAATTCAAAATAACCATTTTAAACACAAAGTGGACATACAGACAATTTCATGAATATCTTGACTTTCCAGATTGTTGCACCACAATGGAGTATCTCGCACCCCTCCACTCTTACTCTGTCACTGAACCTTTCTGCTGTTTACGATATAGCTTCAGCTCCCTTTTATAACTTCTCACTGATAAAGCACACCCAATTGGATTTACTTTCCACTCATGAAAAGAACAAACACAGCCTTGCACCTTGTTTTTGATCCAGAAGAATGACTTGGCTTGAATCCTTTCTAATAGTGATCCTCTAATGTTATTCCCATTATTAAACACCTTACTATTTCTCCAATACCATAAGTACCAAGATACAACAAGAAATATGCAAGCCCCCATCTCCTTCCCAACTATCTTACCCACATCTTGTACAAAAATCTCTGCCACTCCTAAAATATTATTAGGAATAACAGTCTCCATGCCCCACCATTGTAGAATCTCTACCCAAATAAGCCAGGCTTCTTTACACATACAAAATAAATGATTAGCTTCTTCAACCATGTCATAACACAACCCACACATTAACTCCTCCTCCTACAGAGAGATCCCTCTTTTCATAATATTCCTCTTAGTTGGTAATCTATCAAGGCATAATCTCCACCCAAAGAAAGACACTTTGGATGGTACCAATCTACACCAAATTAGCTTGCTCCACCGGTCCTCTAAGATACTCTCTGTTGGAGCTAAAAATTCATAAGCCTTCTTCACCATGTATTTTCCTTCCAAATCATGAATCCACCTCCTAGTATCATTCACACCCTTCTTTAATTTAAAGTTCTCCAACACCTCCCACAACACCTCCTCCTCATCCTTCTCTCTTCCTATTCTCCCTCTCCTCCATTCCATTTTCCAACTCCATTTTTCCCCCTCCCAAACCCCCATATCACTAATATTACCCAACTTATTCTTAGATAATTCATACAACCTTGGGCATAAATCCCTTAAATTTTTATACCCGCCCCACAATTCTCTCCAAAAGCCTACCCGTTTCCCTTCTCCCACTTCCCACCTAAACCCCTCCACCAACATATTTTTTAGCCTCCTAGAACGCCCTCCTACACTAATAATATCTCTCCAAATTTTGGATGTTCTCCAATTGCCAACTGCTGTAATGTCCACCTCCTCCCTCTTGCCCCCATAGTATTTCTCCGATACTATCCGTTTCCATAAGCTCTCTACATCCTCTCCAAATCTATACCACCATTTCCCTAGCAAAGCCCAGTTCTTCCTACGCAGGTCCGTTACCCCTAATCCCCCTTTAATCTTACTCCCACACACCTTATCCCATTTCACCCATGAT